AAGTATATCCACAGGAAACTAATTTTAAAAAAACTATAAATAAATTTCAGAAAGATCAGTAGAATAGAGGGAGGGGACCAAGGGCATGAAGAGGGGTAGTGCAGGGGACAGAATTAGAGAAAATTATATTTCATGCTTTTGTGATTATGTCAAAGTATATCCTAATATTATATACAACTAAAAAGAATGAATTAAAATTTCAAAAAAATAAAAAGAATATCTCTTCCTGGATAGACGGTCCCAATACTTTTGCTGGAATGGAAATCTAATCATCTTTTTTCACCAATGAAAACTTCTCTGTGAAAGGAACCATGGTTTTAAGAGGAGGGAAGGGAGAAAAGGAGAGGAGAAAAAAGGAAGAGGAAAGAGAGAGAGATTTTTAACATAAATTCAATTTTTCCTCATGAAACACCTACAAGATTGCATTGAACATAACCTAGAATAGGAAGAAAAAAATATGTTTATGTTGTTTGTAAATTCTCCTGGTTTTATGTACTATGACTTCTTATATGATTTCAGCACATATATGATTCCATAATTTACCTCTTTGTTTCTGCCTTTAATAAAAATCTTTTCATATTTAAAAAAAAAATAATCTTGTATCAGGACATTTTCCCTGAGCTCTCTGTTCATGGGTATATTAAATAGACAGTGTTTTTCCAAGCTCACTTTCTAGGCCACCATGAGACAATTTTGGTTTTCATTTTTCTATCATTTTCATGCTTGGATACTTTTTTAAAAAGTTAAAAAAAGAAAATTGTTGAACATAGTGATGCTTCCTCCTGCAGAAAGTAGTAAGCACTTAGGTAGCTCCCCAAGAAACAGACAAAGGAAAGCTGTCCATGGTGCTGGATCTCAATCTCCATACACAGCTGACAGCTCCTCCAACAAGAATTCAAGAATTGTGAGGAATATTCCTGTGGAGGAGGGGAGGAACTGCTCTGTAATTAGTGGACTCTGTGATGTTGTGAAATTCATGAAAACAGAATGAAAGCTTGACTGGAATCACAGCTACTTGGGATCTTATTTGCATTCTCTCTTAAGCCTGCAGTGCTATAAATAGAAAAGTCTATACATAGTGATGAGTTGTTTCCACCAATAGTGATTTTATGTTTTAGAAACATCTAGAGACATTACTCGTAAGAATCCATTTCTGCACACTTTCCCACTGAGAATCTCCCTCTCTTGACACTGCAGGTGGCCAACTTTGAAATCTGCTAATGACACATTAGATACAAAGAATGCAAGAAGAATTATTATTCTTTAAGCTAATATGTGCAGAAATCCTTTTAGTTCTAGAAGATTTCCTGGCATCTGGCTATGTTATATAAAAACCGGGCACCTCTTCTAAACCAACATTTTTTATTTTTTTAATTAGCTAATTTTTTCTAAAAATAATTTTAATACCCATAGAAACTCAATGACAGTCACTCAATATGCTTACCATACTGTAGACTCATAATCTAATATTTGGCAGTTAAAGTGCCAAAACATATAGATGTTTACATATATTTAGATGCATGGTATTTTTTTAAACTAAGCTTTAAACCAACTAAGTGAATGGTTTCCTCCTTCATGTTATAGTTAAGTATAATTGTATATGAAGCAGACTACATATTGTGCTAGTAAAGCAAAAGCTCTCTAATCTTTGTACCTTGATATAGAAATATCTTGTTTTCAGATATATATTAGTAAAAAGTTAAAATATAGTCCAAAGAGTAATAAAATTATAATACCCTGGCATCATGCTAAGAACTCAATAGTAACGAATGCCCATTAAATTTTACTCTTAAAAAGAAAAGTTGTCCCAGGGGGTTGCCCTTAAACTTAAAGTAAACTATACAAGAGGATTACCTGATGACTTTAAAAATACAAAATCTTGGCCTCACCCCAGAACTTCCAGATCAGAATCTCAGGAGAGCAGAGGAATATGCACTTTAAAATCCACAGAGAGAACTCTCTAGTAACATCTGTGATTGGACCACAGATAAGCCTCAAAAACTGCTTTCGTAGGAATTCACATGTTACAGAGCTGAAGTTTCAAATTCTTGCTGCATCTACATTTCTTTTTTACATATGCTGTGTGTTACAGAGATTTATTCATGTATTGTATTCCCCAAAGACTATAGAAGTGAGTCTTACTAACTTTCTGGCACATGGCTCTATCTATAACATATGTGTACAGGAAATATTGCTTGAAAGAAACTGGCAAAAAATATGGTATTCTGGTGCACAGGTAAAAACTTCACCAACAACTGGATTCTTTCCCAGACCTACTTTTTATTCATAAAAATGTCACGACTTCCTCAGAGAGGGATTTGTACTATAGTTTCTATGTGGTTTGCTGTTCTTATGAAGGATGAAATTTTTAAAACTTTCTCATATAAAAAATGTACATTTCATGTGATTACATTCTCATATAACTTGTTATACTAAATAGTACCAAACAAATTCTCAGCAATGTCTCAACAAGATAAACTGGGCAAAGAAGGATGATATTGTTTCAATCACTATTTCTGAAAGTCTACTGTTTTATATACAATCCATCAATGGGTATTCCTTTTTCTTGTCAGTGTTACCTTCTGCTTCAGGATGTGGAAAAGCATCAAAGTGGCTTAAGTGACAGAGAAAATCTCTGAGTTTGTAGCTTCTGAATAAGTTGGATCTAGAAATGGGGATCTTTGGCAAGATATGGATAGAAGAAACCATTAGATTCACATGTGGTACAGTCAGTAGCAAAAATAGATTTTAAAAAATCTACTGGTGAAATATCTGGCACTCTAGTCTTTTGAAACTTGAAGGTGTAATTCAAAGTGAAGTACACAGAGATGCCATCATCTGGAAGAATCTTCAATGGTTAAAATTAACAGTCACTAATGAAAGGCTGAGGGACATCAAGATGGGACAAAGGGCTGTACACTTGCCCTTAGAGAGCCAGAAAAGGTGATTATCTCTATCCTTGAACTATTTTCTATAAAACCTATATTTCCCTCTCCACTATATCTGCCTACTGATGCACAAATAAACACAGTTGTCACCACACAAATTAATACAACCAACTTCTCACAACATCTGATGAAAGCAAAAAGGAAAGGAGACTTGGTTTACCAATAGGACATAAAAATCATGCTGTCCTTGGTTTTTAACAGAAAAGCACCTTTTCTGCACCTCAAATCTATTAAGATCTATGTGATCAAAGCACTTAATTAGTGTTCAGATTGGTTTGATTTTCAGATATGTGCTATTCTCCTTTGTCTTGAAAAAAAGTTAATTTGTTATACTCCTAGACATTATCCTAGAATGGAAATCACCATCATAATACTGATCTTTAACTTTTTCCCCAACCTTGAAAACCTATGTGATTTTATATGTTCACTATGTGAAACTGCTATGAAATTGCCCTGAAAGTTATAAAAGGAATAAATTACTGATGGCTTAGAGGATTAGCCTGTGCATTTGTAAAATCCAAGGGTCTCCAAGACTTACATGCCAACAAAGCTAGCTTTTCCTGTTATCTGATACATAAACTTTCTCCATAGCACTTTATCCCACTAACACAAAGAATTAATATAAAAATAAAAACATTTTTAGAAAAGCAAACCTTTTCACAATTCACTTAAATACTAGTTAGTATAGAAGAAATGGTCCTTTCCTGTGAGCAACTTTATTTTGGATTAAGAGAGAACTGAAAAGGAAAAGACCACACAGATGAAAATAGCAAGAGAGAAATACCATGGTATAGGCAAGACTACAACCAGATTAGGAGGCTGAATAATAAAGACAAAATATGCTATCTTTCTAATTATGGAGGCTGGTTCTGACAACTATCTTTAAGAGCTAACAATCAGGTTGAAAGGTAAGATGTAACAGGGGAAAAAATAAAGATCCACATATGGCAAGGTGTGTGGACTAAGGAAATAATGAGAGAGAAAGGGGAGAAAAGAACATCCATATTGAATGAAATTCATATTATTGAAAATGGCAAAAAAATTTCAAACTAGCTTAAAAACATAAAAAGAGGGTAGACTATGTATATTCAAGTAACTACACAGTAACAGCTGATTCTGCTGCCCAAATAATGTCATCAGTAACCTCTCTCCCCAAATCACCCCTATTTTCCTTGCTAGGTATTATCTATCTACTCTTAGCCAGGCTTTCCCTCTGGATGAGCAAATGCCACTAGCAGCTTCAAAAGAGCACTCTCCACAGGCAGCCTGGTGTGCCCCATGTACCCATCTTGCACACTGTGAGTGGTAGCAAGAATAGAGTCTGCCCCTTGTAGACAACATGGCTGAGAATGATGGATGGGTGGGTCCTGCCAAGGAAACTGGGGCTACTGTTACTTTAAAGAGGGGAATGGATACAGGGAAGGCAGAAATAACAGATTCTAAGTCACTTCCCCCTCCTGAGAATGCTTTCCTGGCAAGTAAGAGGAGTATTTTTTCCTGAGCTCTGCTTTCATAGACACTCACAGCCTGGGGCCACCAAACCATATTTTAAGTAGGAGAGTTGTATAGTCATTACAGCTCCCCACTGTGCCTTTTTTCAGAATTACACAAGTGCAGCTTTTGGAGGACTTTGCCCTCAATATAGGGAGCTTATCACAGCTTAAAATTCTCCTCTGAGCTTTGAGCCTGAGATGCCTTTTCCTAATAGACATTTGAAGCACTTTATTGAAGCAGCAGCACACATATTTAATGAATCACTGAAAAGGCACCTAGTGTGAAATAAAAGATGAGATAAATCAAAAACAAAAATAGATGGCTTAAAATAGCTTTCATTGCTTCTGACAATCTATAAAGCTGTCCATCTGCTTTCAATATAAAACACACAGATAAAAATACTCAAACATTAAAACACAGAAAAAAGGGAAAAAACTCCACTTATTAGATAAGTTGCAATTTTTGTAGTTTTATTTATATATGCATGAGTACATGTGCATGTATGTGTATAAAATATCAGTTGTTTTCTGATTTTTGAAATTGCTTTTCTTTTCTCAGTGATAGTGACAACTGGTTTTGTGAGTGTCCAAGGCTGTACTCAGGGAAGCTGTGCCAGTTTGCAAGTTGTGAAAACAACCCATGTGGAAATGGTGCCACCTGTGTTCCCAAATCCGGAACAGACTTTGTCTGCCTCTGTCCGTATGGGAGATCTGGACCCCTCTGCACTGACGGTAAGACATTAAACATGTGGCACAGGCAGAGAGAGATGAAGAGGACAGAAGTGACTTAGAGACATAAAGGATAGCACCTGGTGGATCAAATACATCAGATTCTTTTCTTGGTTCTTTTCAAATTAGTTGAGACAAGACTCACTACTGACACTGATCACTGAGCAGGTGTTTCTCATACCTATCAAGTAATTGCAAAAGACATAATGAACTTTCCCTGAGGTTAGACTGCAGAAAACCTCTGCATTATAAAATCTCAAAGTCAATCTAATAATAAGAAAGTAACAAGGAAAATCAAGAGCAATACATGGAACCAAAGTATCTTATATCATTTTGGCAAACTGAGGGCATAATAGTAATAAATTTACATATCATAACCCAATTGTTTCACATTTAAACATAACAAAATTATGACTTGGTTATTATATACCAAGAAATTAAATTATGAAGAACAGTTCTATGCCTCTCCTTAGGAAAATTCAGGATGTGGAAAGCCTAAATTGTACAAAATAACAAGATGCTATAATATAAGATTACTTTAAGAAGCAAATTGTCTAAGAATTTAGTGTTAGTTTGATATCAGCATGAAATCAATGTGTATATAAATACTTTCAGAAATAATAAAAAGTAACATATTAATATTTAATCAACACAGGACCAGATCTGTTTCATCTTTATTTTTACCATGAGGTAATAAACAATCTGGGAACGTTGGCATATGTCTGTAAACTCAGATGCTTGAGAGGCTGTGACAGGAGAATTGTGAGTTTAAGGCCAGCCTGTGTAAATTAGCAAGAACCCATGGTGGTGGGGATCACACACCAGAGCTCATGCTTGGCAAGTGCTCTAGCACTGAGCTACTTCCCCATCCCCTGAGAATTTTATTCAGTGTGAGGCAGTGTTATACTAGATGTTAATCAAAGCCATTTTATAAAAAGAAAAACATCATAGACTGCATGAAGTTGAAATCTTGACCTTTCCTATAAAAAAACCTCATGTTTCTCAAACATAATCATTCCATTTAGATAAAAGTTTTTCAAATGATGGGTCCATTCCCAGTCTTCTGACAAATCTTCATAATTCTTTCCAAAGTGGTCGCACTAATTTGTTGTCCTACTAATAATGTATGCGTGCACCTTTCTCTCCACATCCTAACAAGCATTTACTGTTATTTGTATTCTTGATGATTCTCATTCTAATTGGGGTGAGATGAAATCTCAATGTCTATTTGATTTGCATTTCCTTAATTGCTAAAGATATTGATTTTTTCATATATTTGTTGGCTATTTGCATTTCTTCTTTTGAGAAATGTCTGTTTCATATGCCCATTTTGATTAGGTTATTTGGTTGGTTTTTGGTGGAGTTTTTTTGGGAGGCGGGGTGCTTTTCAGTTCTTTATATATTCTAAATATTAATCTGTTGTCATAAGAGTAGCTAGCAAAGATTTTTTCCTTTCTGTAAGCTCTTTCTTCAAGGCCATAGCTATCCCACTCCTTTATATTTATCCAAAAGAACTAAAACCAGCCTACCATATGAAGATGATATATGCATACCATCATTTGTAGTAGGGCAATTCACAATAACCAAGGTATGGAACCAGACCAGATGACCCTCAATAGACAAACGGTATAAGAAAATGTGGCATATGTACACAAAGGGTTTTACTCGGCCATAAAGAAGAATAAAATCATGTCATTTGCTGTTAAATGGATAGAACTGGAGAACATCATGCTAAGTGAAGTAAAACCAGCTCAAAAAGTCAAGGGTTGAATGTTTCTTTCATATATGGAAGCAAGCAAGAAATAAGGAAATTTTTTTTAAAGGGGGAAGTGAATCTCATGAAAATAGAAAAGAAAGCATTGGAGTAGAAAAAGGGAATACAGAGCACATGAGCAGGGATGAGAAAGGGGAGGAATTTCAGAATAAAAATTGAACAAACTTTGCTATGTGAATATTTGAGTATATCACAATAAATTCCTTTTTTATGTATAACTATAATGCACAAATTTAAAAATGGATTAATAGAAGGAAGACCAATAAAGTAGAGATAGGGTATCAGGGTGAGTAAGGAAAAAAGGAGAGAGAGCAGTTCTGGGGATTTAAATGGAGCAAATTATGTTATATGCAATTCATAAATATGTCAACATTGAACCTCACAGTCTTATAAAACTATAATGCACTAATAATAACATATATTTTAAAAATTAACAACAAAAAAATTGAAAATGCAATTGGTTGCAATAAATTTGATTACTAAGGAATGAGTCATCATTTTGCTTCCCAGTTGAAGACTGATTAATCATATAAAATAAGAAATGAAGATTTATATTTATATATCTTCACATATTCATGCACCAAAAAATGATTGTTTATTCCCATCTCTTGGATTTCAATTAGGGTTCAAAAGATGCAGAGATTTATTGATTATTGATACAGGAAAAATAAAACAAAATTTATTAGACTACAAGTGTAAGTAAGAAAAAAACTCCTGCATGTACCATCCAGAGGAATTTCTCAAAATAATCAGCCTATCCATTAATATGTACTACAAAGCTACAAATCCAGGTAAAGGTATCAGAAATTTAAAGCTTGTCAAGAAACTCCTGCCCTCACAGAACTAGCCTGCTAATTGAGGAGATGAAAATAAAATAAAAATGGTTCAAGACACAAAAACAAACTTCTGAGAGGAAATTATGAAAGAAATAAACCATAGTGAGAGACAGTAACTATGGTGAAGGGCATTATTGTAGACAGGTTGTCAGGACAACAACTCTCAAAGGAGATATTTGAATGAACACCTAAGGAATAAGGAGCATGCCACATAAAATACAGGAAAAGAAACTGTCCAGATAGAAGTTTCAGAAAATAGAAGACAAGCAAAGATTGAACCTGGGCTTTTGGAAGCATAAAAGGGTGCTGAGACAGGTATGTAAGCATCATAGTCCATTTGGGCTTCTGTAGCAGGATATTACAGACTGGGTTGCTTATAAAGAACAAACATATATTTATTTCCCCATCACAGAAGCTGAGAAGTCCAAGGTAAAAGTGCCAGTAGATCTTGTTATGGTGAGGGATGGTTTCCTGGTTAGTCCTCTCAATATATCCCCAGTGATACAAATACTATCCAGCTGGTTTATAAGGGCACTAAACTCATTCATGAAGACTTTGCCCCATGACCTAATCATATACTCTCAAAGACCACCCTTCTGAATACCATTCTATTGGGGAAATTTTTTTGACATACGAATTTTTGGAGACATAAACAGTCTACAGCAACGAGTGAGCAAGGAAGAAAATCACAAATGTTGTTGCCAGGACCTGGATCATAAAAGGCCTTAGAAATATGAGAAGGTTTTGGATTTCCATTTCTAGATGTCTTAAGAAGCCATTGGAAAGTTTTTTAAACAGCCATTGGTGGGTCTTAAACAGACTTACATGTTTAGCTTAACCCATTTTGACTATAACAGAAGAGATTTTGGATGGCTATCATAGTAGTCATGATAAAAGATAATTAAGCATAGAACAGAGGGATGGCAGTGGAGATAGAAATGACTGGGTGCATTTGAAGTCTGTTCCGAAAAAAAAAAAATTGACAGAACTTGCTGGGAAGAGTGTGAGATGGGCAGACCCATGGACAACATGTAGAATTGTTTTACTTGTGTGAACGGCAGAGTAGATGTTGCTGCCATGAGGAAGAATAGGGACATAACAGAGTATTTTATAGGAGATCAGAGGAAAGCAAACCAGAGTTTTATTTTGTGAAGATAAAGAAAAAGATGCCTGTTTGACATCCAAATGGAAAGGACATGGAGACAGATGGATATATGATGTTGATGCTCTGAGGAGGGATGAGGACTGAAGACATTATTGGGGAGTCATCAAACAGAGATGTAGGTTAAAAATATAGGACTGTAGATTGTCTAAAGAGAAAGTACACAAAAAGAAAAGACAGTATAGATAAAGAAAATAACTTAAATGGAAGTAGGCAAATCCTAGAGAATCCCTCCAGGATTCCAATCTTCAGGGTTTTGGTGGAGGAGATAAAGCCATATTAAATATGAATGCCACCCTTTGACAAATGCCCCCATCATCACTCAGCCCCTAGGTATTGCTCCTTGCATGATGTGTCATTGTGTTCACCTGAATTCCCCTCAAAAGCAGAACCTCTATAAAAATTTGCATTTAAGTTGTTTATTTTGGAAATATAAAACTCCCAAGAAACAGGAATTAAAGCCTTAGAAAGAATAAAATGGGGAAAGAAAGAAAAGTCCATAGAAAAGCAGATGTGATGTTGAGCATGGCCATGGGCGATTTTGCTTGATTTCATTAGGATCTTGGGAAGAGCTATATAATGGTTATGCCAGAATTATCTGCCTAAGAAGCTCAAGAGAAAACCACTTAAACATTGGCTCTTGGTTCATTTTGATTGAGAGTTTTCCCACAGGACATTAATTTTTCCACACTTCTAGATTGTCATGCAATACTGGTGATATTGCTGACTCTCCCAGGCTTCTTAGGTTAGGCCTAAGTGGAAAAGAAACTGAAGCTCAAGGAAGGAGAGCTTAGTACATTAAGATCCCATAATAATCATTGAAATGTCCACTCTGGTGTTAGCTTCCTCCAGGAGCCATTTTTACATCAAACAAGAACTGATACTTTGTATACTCCACAATCTAGTGTGAGGTGGTACCCCAAATCATCTCAGACCATTCACTGTTACTAGGATGACCTCTATGAGAAAGTCCAGAAATGCAAAAAAATATATACTTATTAGAGAAAAGCATAGAGCAAATTAATAAGCCTAACCTATAGCAAAACTAAAACTACACAGTAGAACAAGCACAGAATAAGATCTTTCAACCTTTTTGTTAATACCAGAGGATGAAAAATCAAGTAGTTCATTTCGTCAGCAGTTGTGTCTCCTCCATTGCACTTTTCTTTCAAATTATGTCCACATCTACCATCCTAATATATTCTTTGGGGAATAATAGAGCATGTAATTC